TCCATGTCCCCCACCAACCCTGCAAGCGTCCCTGATGCAATACAACACTTAGTACTGTCACAGCTCGTGTCCTCACCCACTCTGAAGGGGGTCACCCCAGGTCTCCAGAAAACTTTTAGAAAATGGCTGAGAATGCAGGTCATGTGACCAAAGAACAACAGATCAGACAGTTAACTTATCTTCAGGCCCTGCACTTCCACCTTTTATGGCTCTACATCAGCCTCCCCTTTCCTCCCTTCCTCTCCCAGAGACCATTCAAAGAGCACTAAAGATTTCCCCAGGAAGGAATTCCTGTGCAGAGTCAAAGCATGGACCAGGCATGCTAATAAGCAAGGGAGATGAGTTGGACTTATCCTGTTTTTACTTGAGATGGCACAAGTCAGCATACCAAATTTGTCCTAGGGCCTAGCCCTGTCAAACAACAACTGAAAGAAGAAAGGAATGATCATGGCCCACCCCACTTCTACTTTACCCTGCGACCTGACAAGACCTTGCTTCTTGCCCCACAAAACTCAGGGCTCTACATTCCTAGGAGAGACCAGGGGTCAGATCAGGTCATCATATTCTTACAGGACGTTTCCTCCCAGAAAAAAATTAAACTGGCATATTTGGGACCCAGGGATGTTACACCTGGAAATTAGATATGACAAAACTAGGCACCTTTTAATAAAGTTTTAAAATGCTCTTCAACTTTTCAGGCCCCACCCACTTTTTTATTTGACTCTCAGAGCTGCATTAATCTCTTCTCTCCCCATCCGATCTAAAAGCACTCTTGCATTCTCTCTCAGTCTCTGCTTCCTGGGGCAGGTACCACCTCAGAAGACTAAGAAGGCAGGCCCCTGCCAGCCCTGCAAAGACTCGGCTGCTTGTGCAGACAAGGGAGAATGATGGGAATGAATATAAAGGTGCTCTAGAAAGGTAAAAACTTTAGACAAATGTTTCTCCGAGGTCAGTGCAGGTCACTATGCTCTTTAAAATATACATCTGTTTGGCTCAAACCCCTATATTATGTCTGAGGGAAAAAATCTAATGCCTCCCTTGAGATTTCTGCAAATTTCAAGGGAGCTTATATTCTATTCTCACCTCTGGCCCCAATTTCATGCCCTTGCTGAATTCTTATTCTCTTCTCTCCATAATTCTGCACCTTCTTCACCCAACCCTATCCTTTCACCTAAAAGCAATCATTTTTACAAGCATTGCACGTTAGCAGAATTTTTATTGATGGTTTGTAGGTCATGAGGGATGGGTTACATTTTCTCACCTCACAGCAAACAACCTAACATCTGATACTAGATGTCCCATTTCTTGAACATTCTCCAGGGATTTCTCACTGGCCATGCCTCAATGTGCAACACCACAGCTCCTCTCTCCCTCTCTCCCCTGAGAATTCTTCCCACTTCTGGCTGACAGCACGGTAGTTCTCTCCCCTGCTTTGCATATCTGAAGCCCATCTAGGTGTGCAATGAAACCAAAATCCTCTAACTCCTTTAGAAGCATCAGCTTTCAAAGACAGCTGCTTTCAATGTTGATTCTTTTTCTTCATTTCACCAATATAATTATGACTTTAATTCTAATTCATTAGAAAGCGGAGCAAGACTCTCATTTCATTTATAAGCCCACTCTCTGATTTGTAGCATTCTCTCCCCTACTATCCTTTAGGCACTGAGCCTCCAATTACATTCATGGCTAATAAAATGAACTTTCTACCTCAATCTACCTACCCAAACAGCATCAGCACACTGCATCTTGTAGGTAATCCAGGACATCACTATGTTATAACTGCTGCAAATGCCTCTGCCACCGAATGGTCTTAATCTGGGGTCATGGAAAGCATAAGAAAGCTAGGTACTACTGCAGGATGTCTGTGACTCTCCTAAAACTGTAGGCATTTAAGTGCATTTTTCTGAGGACAAGGTTTATAACTTTAATAAGATATTTACAAGCATCTTTAACCTAATAAGAAATTAATAGGCATCGCCAACCCCCTCTCTGCCCTAAAAAGGTTTTATCCAATATCCATAGCCAGTGAGCAGGACCACGTAAAGCTCCACATCAACATTACAGCTTAAAGTGGAAACATAGCCTTAAACCAGGTCACTATTTAATTGGCAGTCTGGGAGAAAGAAGAAATCATTATGAAAAGATCTAAATTTTCAGAAATATCTGCTATGGAAGTTGTGAAAAACCAACAGGAGTTAAAAGCAGAGAAAATAAAAATATTTTTAAAAATTTAAGACAGAGCTTTTTGAAAATGTAATTCAATAAGCTAACACCTTTTCTCAGACATCGACAGAGTAATTCTTAAATGCAAACACTTACTCCTATATTTCACATTCTGAAGAGTCTGGTTTTATAACTGAAAAATATTAACCATAAAAACAAAGATGAACCAGATACAAAGAGTTATTGTATTCATTGGAGATGGGCTTAGCTCATATAAGACAATCGACACAAAGGTAAGGATAGATGGAAGCCTAGAGCCAATTAAAACTAAATGGGAAGGAGATTTAAGTCTGATAACTTAAGATAAGGCCTGGCAATTATCCTGTCATCTAACCAAACACACAACTGGTACTATTCTGGGTGACTTGATGTATTTTTAATTATCAAGCGTTTGACTCTAGTTTTAAAAAATTGACTATTAAAAAATATTAAGCTCTTTTTCCAATGAATCGGCGTTGGGGAGAACTATCTTTCTCTGTCCACATGGTTCCTATACACAGAGACACAGTGGTGCCGTGCCATTAAAACTGTATCATAAATTACAGAGAAAGAACCTCATCATCTCCTGACCTGTGTTTACCTAATATTAATTCTCAGTTGAATGTGGAAATGGTTCATTTTGCCTCATTTACACTGTTAATAGTCTTACAGCAGATTACAAGAAAATAGATGAGAAAGAAGACCCTTAAAATATGGTAAGTAGCTTAAAAGTCTTAACCAAACTTGCCCAATGGGAGACGGCACTACCTTTATGTTCTGCGTAAGAGGGTCCCTGCCCCAGACCTCTATGTTAGAGGCTCTCTCATTTCTCACATTATACATATACACTTATTGAAGAGGATATGAACACCTCCATCACTTGGGGTCTGGTGCTCGGCTCTAATGCAGAACAACCCACAACCCCAAACATTCACTCTTGTTTCTAGTACTCTTTGGGTCTCAGGGAAATATTTCTCATCTCTTTCCCACATCCTTGAAGCAGAAGGCAGCTGCATCTGAATGCCATGGAGGTTTGTGGAGTTTGTCCTGCGGTGAACCATGGGGACAGTTTGAGCAGCAGAAGCACTTAGCTATAAGAGAAAAGACAGATTAACTTGTCAAATTCTTCCTTTCAGTTTAATTGCAATACTTCTTGCATGCCAAATCACTGTTTCCTAATAGCGCCAGATGTCTATTTTCTTCCTTCACTTTATATTCTAATTTGAGATTCCAGAATATTCACGAATTAACACCATATTTACAACAGATGCAGGTAGCAGCTGAGGCATATTTTGCAATATTAAACAAATCATATTGCCCTTTCATTTGTATGTCGAAGTGATATATTTGAAACCAATATTTTTATTGTCAACTAAACAGATTTTTGAATACCAAAACTATAAGTGGTTTTATTTATTTATTTTTTGAGACGGAGTCTCACTCTTGTTGCCTAGGCTGGAGTGCAATGGCACGATCATGGCTCACCACAACCTCTGGCTCCCAGGTTCAAGTGATTCTCCTGCCTCAGCCTCCCAAGTAGCTGGGATTACAGGCACGCGCCACCATACCTGGCTAATTTTTTGTATTTTTAGTAAAGATGGGGTTTCTCCATGTTGGTCAGGCTGGTCTTAAACTCCCGACCTCAGGTGATCTACCAGCCTCAGCCTCCCAAAGTGCTGGAATTACAGGCGTGAGCCACCATGTCTGTTAAATTGTTTTATTTTTATAAAAATACTTAAAATATATAATTAAATTCTTTAAAATTAAGTTAAAATCCAGCTTTATACAAAATTTTTATTTAAAGTATTTTCATTCAATACTTCTGCTTCCGGGAAGATGGAATAGACATACTTAGACATATCCATTTCTCCCATTAAGTACAACTAAAAACCTTGGAAATTATATATGAAATGAAGATAAGAAGATACTGAAAAGTATGTGAAGTAAGCAGACTGGCTAAAGACTCCAAAGCCCAAGGGCTAACAGAGTGGTGAGTTTTCTGGAATTTTTTTTTTTTTTTTTTTTTTTTTTTTTTGCCTCATAGATCTCAGATTTGGAGCTAAACAAAACAGTAACCCAGAAACATCAAAGTCACAGACCAAAAAACCCTCCACAGAAAGAGAAGCCTAGTAAGACAGGAAAATTTTACACAATAACCACTCCTCTATCAACAAATATTACAGAAAATAAATTAACAAACAAAAACCTGTGGCCCATTCCTACCCATGACAGCAAAGTCCAAGTAGAAGCCATTTCTCTACCCTTGAGAGACTGTAATGAGGTGTCCAACACACCTTCTGGAGTGATGTCAGAGAAGGTCACATAGGGAGCTAAGACTTTCAATCCCACTGGCCAGTAACAACCTGCCAACCCACTTCAGACCATGGTGTCCATGGAGACCACACTGGAAGCCTGAACTTCTACCCTGTCATCTGACAGGTATTGAGAGGCTCCTTTCCTCTCCTCTGGGGTTGTGCTAGTGGAGGCCAAATAAAGAGTCCAAGTTTTCATGACTATCCAGCAGTAAAAAAGCACATTCAGTGTAGAGTCAATAGAGATGACATGGGGAGCCAGAACTTCAATCCTCACTTCACAGTAATGAGAAACAGCCCCCTCAGGTGTCAGTTGTCAACAGGGGACAAAGTAAAAAACATGGTCTTTACCTTCACTTTGCAATAATAAAGAGGTGACCCCCACCCTTGTCCCCTGCCACGGTTGTGCCAAAAAAGGCCAACAAAACCAGAAAGTTTAAATGAAATAAAGAGTCTCAGACCATGATATGAAAATGTTCAGGTTTCATGCTCGCTTCAGCAGCACATGTACTAAAATTAGAACGATACAGAGAAGACTAACATGACCTCTGTGCAAGGAAAATGTTCAGGTTTCTATTGAAAAATCATTCCTCATACCAACAGCCAAGAATATCTCAAACTGACTAAAGAAAGACAATCAATAAATGTCAATACTGAGGTGAAACAGATATTTGAATGGTCCTACAAAGACTTTAGAGCAGCTAGCCAAACTGAAAATGAAGAAGTTAAATTATCCTTCTTTGCAGATGATAAGATCTTATATTTGGAAAAACTTAGACTCCACAAGAAAACTATTAGAACTGATAAACAAATTCAGTTTACAAAACCAGAATATGAAATTGACATACAACAATCAGTAGCATTTCTGTATGCCAACAGTGAACAACGTGAAAAATAAATTTTAAAAGTAACACCATGGGGGAAGATCCAACACAGCTGATTAGGAGCAGCTCAGGATTGCATCTCCCAGTGAACGCGCAGAGGGTGAGTGGATGCCACATTTCCAGATGAATTTTTATTGCCCACAGACCAGGAGATTCCCAGGAGGAGGAGCCCCACAGGTCAGCAGCGCAGCTGTTTTGCTGGCGTGCCAGCGCTTCGGTTCTCCATACAAAATACTCCAGTCTGGGTGCCCTTTTAGCTGGTGATTGGAGCTCTGGGAAGGCAGAGTCACCCATTCATCTGATTAAAAAGGGGACTGAAACAGGGAGCCAGGCCAGGAGATTCCTGGGCATAAAAGCGCCAGTAATCTCAGCACAGCTGTTTCAGCTGGCGCAGGCACAGGCGCAGTGGGTCGCCGCATGAGTAATCACACAGATCCCGGTGCCTTTTCAACAGACTACTGGAACACCTGGGAAAGAGTCAACCGTTCAACTAAAAAAAAAAGGCTCTGAGGCAGGGAGCCAGGTGATCAGGCTCGGCTGGTCCCACCCCCACAAAAAAACAGCAATTGGAAATGCTCTGGGTTGACAACTTCACAGCAAGCACAGACGAATCCAGAAAGGTCCAGCTCTGTGGGGGAGAAGCATCCGCCATTACCGAGGCACTCCACCACTACAGAGGTAGTCCGCCATTGCTGAGGCAGCCCGCTGTTGCCAAGGCAACCTGCCATTACAGAGAGAGTTTGACATTACAGAGGTGGGCCAACATTGCCGAGGCAGTTCTAACCACATGCATACAAACAGGACTGCAGGGAGTTTCACACAGCAGCGGGGCAGAGCCCACAGCAGCTCAGCAAAGCCTCTGCAGGCAGACAGTGACTAGCCTGCCCACTTGCTGGGTAGGGCAGCCCTGAAAAAAAGGTAGCAGCACAGTGGAAACCCATAAATAAAGCCCTAACTCCCGGGACAGAGCACCTGGGGAAAAAACAGTGTTTATGAGTTCTGCTGCAGCAGACTTAAATGTACCTGCCCAGCAGTTCTGAATGAACAGCAGAGCTCACGGCTCAGCACTTGAGCTCCTATAAAGGACAGACTGTCTCCTCAAGCAGCTCCCTGACCCCCGCATATCCAAATAGTCACCTCATAAAGGAGAACTCAGACTGACACTTGGCAGGTATCATTCTAGGACAAAGATAGCAGAAGAAGAAACTTGTAGCAGTCCTTACTGTTCTGCAGCTGCTGCAGGTGATCCCAAGGCAAGCAGGGCCTGGAGTGGACTTCAGCAGTCCTACAGCAAGGGGCCAGACTGTTAGAAGGAAAACTAAGAAACAGAAATAACTTCATCATCAACAAATTGGATGTCCACTCAGAGACCCAATCTGAAAGTCAGCAACTACAAAGACGACAGGTGGATAAATCCACAAAGATGGGAAGAAACCAGCACAAAAAGGATGAAAACACCCAAAACCAGAACACCTCTCCTCCTACAAGAAATCACAACCCCTCACCAGCAAGGGAACAAGGCTGGATGGAGAATGAGTGTGACGAATTGACAGAAACAGGCTTCAGAAAGTGGGTAATAAGAAACTTCTGTGAGCTAAAAGAACATGTTCTAACCCAATGCAAAGAAACTAAGAACCTTGAAAAAAGATTTGACGAAATACTAATGTGAATAGACAACTTAGATAGGAAAATAAGTGAATTGATGGAGGTGAAAAACACAGCACGAGAACTTCGCGTTTCAATAGCCGAATTGACCAAGCAGAAGAAAGGATATCAGAGGTCGAATATCAACTTGATGAAATAAAATGAGAAGGCAAGATTAGAGAAAAAAGAGTGACAAGGAATGAACAAAGTCTCCAAGAAATATGGGACTATGTGAAAGACCTAATCTACATTTGATAGGTGTACCTGATTGTGACGAATAGATTGAATCCAAGCTGGAAAATACCTTTCAGGATATTATCGAGGAAAACTTCCCCAACCTAGCAAGGCAGGCCAATATTCAAGTCCAGGAAATACAGAGAACACCACAGAGATATTCTGCAAGAAGAGCAACCCCTAGGCACATAATCATCAGATTCACCAGGGTTGAAATGAAGGAGAAAATGCTAAGAGCAGCCAGAGAGAAAGGTCAGGCTACCCACAAAGGGAAGACCATCAGACTCACAGCAGATCTCTCAGCAGAAACCCTCCAAGCCAGAAGACAGTGGGGGCCAATATTCAATATCCTTAAAGAAAAGAACTTCCAACCCAGAATTTCATATCCAGCCAAACTAAGCTTTATAAGTGAAGGAAAAATAAAATCCTTTGTGAACAACAAGTACTCAGAGATTTCATCACCACCAGGCCTGCTTTACAAGAGCTCCTGAAAGAAGCACTACACACAGAAAGGAGGAACCAGTACCAGCCACTCCAAAAACATACCAAATGGTAAAGAGCATCAACACAATGAAGAATCTGCATCAACCAACGGGGAAAAATAGCCAGCTAGCATCAAAATGGCAGTATCAAATTCACACATAACAATATTAACCCTAAATGTAAATGGACTAAATGCCCCAATCAAAAGACACAGACTGGCAAATAGGATAAAAAAAACAAAACCCATCAGTGTGCTGTATCCAGGAAACCCATCTCACATGCAAGGATGTACAAAGGCTCAAAATAAAGGGATGGAGGAAGATTTACCAAGCAAATGGAGAGCAAAAAAAAGTAGGAGTTGCAATTCTCATCTCTAACAAAATAGACTTTGAAGCAACAGAGATCAAAACAGTCAAAGAAGGACATTACATAATGGTAAAAGGATCGATACAACAAGAAGAGCTAACAATCCTAAATATATATGCACCCAATACAGGAGCACCCAGATACATAAGTCAAGTTCTTAATGACTTATAAAGAAACTTAGACTCCCACACAATAATAGTGGGAGACTTTAACACCCCGTTGTCAATATTAGACAGTTCAACCAGACAGAAAATTAACAAGGATATCCAGGGCTTGAACTCAGACCTGGAACAAGCAAACCTAATAGACATTTACACAACTCTCACCCCAAATCCACAGAATACATTCTTCTCAGAACCACATCACACCTACTCTAAAATCGACCACATAATTGGAAGTAAATCACTCCTCAGCAAATGCAAAAGAACTGAAATCATAACAAACAGTCTCTCAGACCACAGTGCAATCAAGTTAGAACTCAGAATTCAGAAACTAACTCAGAACCGCACAGCTTCATGTAAACTGAACAATGGGCTCTTGAATGTTGACTGGATAAACAATGAAATGAAGGCAGAAATAAAGATGTTCTTCGAAACCAATGAGAATGAAGACACAACATACCAGAATCTCTGGGACACATTTAAAGCAGTCTCTAGAGGAAAATATATAGCAATAAACGCCCACATGAGAAGCAAGGAGAGATGTAAAATTGACACCCTATCATCAAAATTGAAAGAGCTAGAGGAGCAAGATCAAAAAAACTCACAACCTAGCAGAACACAAAAAATAACTAAGATCAGAGCAGAACTAAAGGAGATAGAGACATGAAAAAACCCTTCAAAAAAATCAATAAATCCAGGAGCTCATTTTTTTAAAAGATCAATAAAATAGACAGACAGCTAGCCAGACTGATAAAAAAGAAAAGAGCAAATAACCAAATAGATGCAATAAAAAACAATAAAGGGGATATCACCAGAGATTCCACAGAAATTCCAACCATCATCAGAGATTACAAACAACTCTATGCACATAAACTTGAAACCTGGAAGAAATGGATAAATTCCTGGACACTTGCATCCTCCCATGCCTGAACCAGAAAGAAGTCAAAACCCAGAATAGACCAATAAGAAAGTCTGAAGTTGAGGCAGCAATAAAGAGCCTACTACCCAAAAAAAGCCCAGGTGCAGATGGGTTCACAACCGAATTCTACCAGACATACAAAGAAGAGCTGTACCATTCCTTCCGAAACTATTCCAAATAATCCAAAAAGAGGTAATCCTTCCCAAATCATTTTATGAGACCAACATCATCCTGATACCAAAACCCGGCAGAGACTCAACAAGAAAAGAAAATATCCATGATGAACATAGATGCAAAAATCTTCAATAAAATACTGGCAAGTTGATTACAACAGCATATCAAAAAGCTTATCCACCATGATCAAGTAGGATTCATCCCGGGGATGCAAGGCTGGTACAACATACGCAAGTCTATAAACGTAATTCACCACATAAACAGAACCAAAGACAAAAACCATATGATTATCTCAATTGATGCAGAGAAGGCATCTGACAAAATTCAACAGCCCTTTATGCTAAAAACCCTCAATAAACTAGGTTTTGATGGAACATATCTCAAAATAATAAAGCTATTTACGACAAACCAACAGCCAATATCATACTGAATGGGCAAAAACCAAAAGCATTCCCTTTGAAATCTGGCACTAGACAAGGATGCCCTCTCTCACCACTCCTATTTAATATAGTACTGGAAGTTCTAGCCAGAGCAATCAGGCAAGAAAAAGAAATAAAGGGTATTCAAATAGGAAAGGAGGAAGTCAAATTATCTCTCTTTGCAGAGGACATGATTGTATATCTAGAAGACCCCATTGTCTCAGCCCAAAATCTCCTGAAACTGATAAGCAACTTCAGCAGTCTCAGGATACAAAATCAATGTGCAAAAATCACAAGCATTCCTATACCC